TTCCTCTTCTTCGTCTGATCCCCTCCTCTTCGTCTGTGTATGTCTGCACCTGGCGCCTCTTTTCTGTGTATAGCGCCAGGCCCCTTCACACTTTGTGATGGGCGTGATGTATGTTTGGTCTGCGTTGAAACATTGATTGGGCTAGTCATTAGTACTCTAGCATTCTGCTTCGCTATCTTATACTACGTGAAAGAGGTCAGTCCCGGTCAGGTCAGGATTTGTATCTAAGTCTTCCCTGCGCTATAAAGCACCTTTTGTATGATCGAATGCACATTGCTTGTTGAGATTCCACTTGCACTGCATTGTCCATTCAGTCCTTTTTGTCACATTGCGGATCATCGGTTATTATGTACATCGCCCAACTGGGCATGTAACACTGGAGTTGTCTGCATCTGGTCTCCACCAGATGTGCCCAGCAGGTGCTGCTCCCCACCAACAGACTGGAGCCACCCTCAAGGGGGGCTAGCAGGGGCTGCTCTTATCACCACTGCTAGCCTACCCAGGGGCACCGTTTTCTCAGGGAAAAAAAAAAAAAAAAGGATGTTCCCAGATTGCATAGATAGGCCGTATCACTGCCATTTTTTCTTAAAAAAAGAAGAAGAAATTGGACCATTTCCTAGCCTACCAGAGTGGCCCGGGACTACTTGCCCGGCCGGGCCAAAAGGAAATAAAAAAATAAAAACTAAAAAAAATTAAAAAAAAAAAATAATAATTTTATTTTTTATTTTAAATATGGTAAAGAAATTCGATGTGACTCGGAGGCAAAAGTTGTTCAGTTTATTTTTCAGCATAACATTTTTGTTTTCGGAATTTTTTGATTCCCCCCCCCCGTCTTGCACGGCCAGGCCGGCGGGGAAAACAGGGTGACCCAGGCGGCACGGCTAGTAGCCTAGACCATTTCTCAATTTATGTGTGTCATGCTTACACAGGGGCCATGTTAATCTTCTCCGATTTTAACGGATGTATCGTTCCAATTTTAACGGATGTCCCGGAAGGTGCTAAGCAAGGATTCTAAGGAAGGGGTAAGAAAGGAGTTGAGTTGGGATTGACCATAGTTGCACAGGCTTAGCGTATGTCCTAGGGTGCCAAGGTCAGAGCGCCCAACAAGCGGACTTGTGGAAAACTTGCTCTGCATCTGTGGATTGACAATCGTAGTCATTAGAGACATGGCTAAAGGCTTACAGACCGATTCAGTGGCACGGCACGGCCAATTCCATTGTTTGGCAGACACTGGAGGGCTCCCGAGGGTCCAGAGGGAAAAAAAAACACCAATGCAAACCATATCGCCCAAGAATGTCTGAAGTATAGGCCAACTTCTCTGCCACCGCTTCAACCATACTGTTTCTGGAGATGGATTGAAAGACATTACCTTTGCCTTGACATGAGGTAGATGAAGTCACAAAAAAAACAGGCAAAGAACGCAATGTACAAGAAGAGGATCAAATAAAGGGACAAGCAAGCAAAGACAACCTCCTTCATAAGCGGGAAAAAGAAAACAAAGGTGGGAGCACTGGAGCAGAGAGAGGATCAGCGGGAGAAGGGGAAGGCAAGAATAGCAGGAGAGGAGGAAGAGGAGAGGAGGAGAGAAGTAGACAAGTAGAGGAGGATCATAGTAGAAGAGGAGAGGAAGACAGGAGAAGAGGAGAGGACGAGAGGACTAGACGAGTAGAGGAGCAGAGGAGGAGAGGAGACGAGGAGACGAGACGAGGAGACGAGGAGACGAGGAGAAGAGGAGAAGAGGAGAAGAGGAGAGGACTATAGACGAATAGATGAGCAGAGGAGCAGAGGAGCAGAGGAGGAGAGGAGGAGAGGAGGAGAGGAGGAGACGAGGAGAGGAGGAGAAGAGGAAAGGAGGAGAAGAGGAGAAGAGGAGAAGAGGAGAAGAGGAGACACCATCCACCTTCTTCTATAACAATACAAGCAGGCTACTGCATCTGGTAACCACTGGAGCATTCATAGAAAGGTAGGATGGTGCACAATTCACTCTCAGCTTTGTCGCTCGATGATGATTACAGGAATGGAACACTGATAATTCAGTGCCAATTTTGCCGCCAAACAAAAAGAAAGAAGAGTCATGGAGTGTTACTAAGCTACGAACCGTGATAAAATCAGTGCACCCGCGATTGTCAAACAAACCCCAGCTATAGTGGCAGTTGCAAGGGCAAATGCTGCAGCCTCATTCGGCAAATTGAGCGCTTTTTGGAGTTTCTTGATGCCTTTGTCGAAGACGGGAGCGAGTGCCGCCGCACCGGCAAGTCTGAACGGTCTTGTGAAGTTGTTGCCAGTCCACATTATAATGACCACAGCTAGTAAAGCTTTTAAATTCCTAGCGGGATTCTGACCAGTGCTCTTCTCATATCCTAGGAAGGCGATGATGAAGAAGATTGTGTACATGATCCCATCAATGAGGCCATACGCGAGAACTGCAGCCAATCCAAGCTTGGCAACTTGGGCGCGCACAGCTGCCGCATTCGCTTGCCACGAAGTCATCTTCGACTTCAAGCTCGCAAAAAGTGCGCCCAAACCCTGATTTCTTCTCCTGGATTCTTCTGTTTCGCCCACCGAACCAGTGAAAGAAGACGAGGACGGAGCTTCCGACCCTGCGGCAGAACTGTGGGCATCACCATCTGGTGGGGGAAAAGCCATCGCCTCGCTGCCCGATCCCGCAGTTGCAGCGAGAACTCGGGCAGATCGGCTACTACTACAGTTATGGCGACACATCGACAAACACCATAGCTGCACCTGGGATGGTTGGCATTCCCCAGGGGCACGACCATCTTTGCCAGTAGCAAAGTGAGATGCCGCAATTTGGATTGCCGGACTATAGCTTCGTAGATCCCCACATGCTGCCCGGGGAGACGGGAAGCTGCTGCTGCTGCCACCACCAAGACCATCCGACCTGCTGCATATCGTGCGCCTGCATTGGTTAACTTCTCCCGCACAAACACGACTGATCAAGGTAGCATGCGCCTGTCTTCTCTTGCTTTCCCCTTCTTTAACAGGACGTAGGCAACATCGAGAAAAGATTGCCGGTTGTGTAGCGCTTGCATGTCCTGGATGCTGTAACTGTGTAGCTGGCAGCCGAACACCAGTCCGGGACAGGGTTAAGTTCATGGCTGGTGACATTGGCGTCATTCCTCGACAATGCCAACGGAAGCCAGAGTGTGTGCTGGGGATGAAGTATGTACCTTGTCTGCAAGTCGTCTTCTTGTACTATTGCTGCTGCTGCTACTGCTAGTACTACTACTACTGCTGCTACTACCACTACTACTACTAGTAGTACTTCTCCTCCGACGCAAAGAATGGTGAACCAATTCACCTATGGAGAAGATGAAGGTGCAGGATGGCACCACCCACAACAAATCATTTGTCCGCTCATTGACGAAAGAGTGGAACGCCTTGTCTTGTTCTTGTTCACTAGACAGTGTGGTGTGCTGTCCTTCTTGTGCTTGATGGCCCCGCTCTTGTTCAGTAGACAGTATGCTCTGGTCTTTGTGGTCCCGCTCAATGCAGTCTCCTCCAAGAACCGGGTTCAAAAGGAAGTCGGCCTGCTATGTCGGCCGCAGATTGAAGATGAACATCGCTCACTCTTGCTGGCACTTAAGTAATGTCCAGGAGTCTTGTAATCTGTCCCAGACTTGCAGTAGTACTGGGCCAGACCCACATCCGTCCGGCTGATGAAAGCTGCACCTACACAATTGTGACACAGGAAAGCCTGCATTAGTGCACAAATCCAAAACATCATACCATCTGTTTCATAGCCTGACAAAGTTCCCCTCCAAACACACACACACACACACACACACACACACACACACACACAACACAACGAACACGCGCACACACACAACACAACGAACACACACACACACACACACACACACACACACACACACACTCCTGATGAGTCGGTGAAAGTCCGACGAAACAGTCTGGCACAGTCATGCTTTTTTTGAGTGTCTCGCGAATATGACAACACACATTCAATCAGTTTGTGTATGTCTGCCTTTCTTTTGTTTGTTGCTTGTCCTTTCTACAAATTTTCCTTACTTTCTGTGTGTTTGAGTGAGCACCTTCAAGGAATGCTAAATAGTAGGTGGTCCGTTGTTTGGACTGCCTGCAGGACTGTTGGGGGAGCCGCTCTGTTCGTGATGTCTGTGTGGTGCATACGGTCTATCGGTGATGACAGACGTCCGTCGCAGTGACTCCCTGGCTCAGCGGGCGGTCTGTCGGTGATGACAGACGTCCGTCGCAGTGACTCCCTGGCTCAGCGGGTGGTGGGTACCAGCAGTCCGCGGGGTTCGCTCGTGATGTGAGTAGGTGATGTGCCGCTTTGCTCCATTTTGGATGTGTAGACTGCCTTGTCTGCACCCGGCTGCTGCCTTGCTGCCCATCCCGCTTGCTTCGCATGTCGTTCTTTGCGGCTGCTGTGTTCACGGTGAGCTGTGGTTGGTTTGTTGCTGTTGCCTTGTGCTTCGCTGCTCTGCTGCCTTGCTGCCCATCCACATGCCCCTTGCCTTCCGCGTCTTTTGCTTGTGTGCCGTGTAGTTTGGACGCTTTGTTGGTGTTGCCTTGTGCTTAACTGCACTGTTGCTGTGCTGCCCATCCACATGCCCCTTGCCCGGTCGTCCATGCAGTTGTAGTTGGCGTTGTGCAGTCGTGGTGTTGCCTTGGCGTGATCACCACCTGTATCATGCTGCTGAGCGTGAGCTTCCCGATGGCGCACTGAGCAGGCAGGTAGGTAGGTAGGGATCTGTCCGTATATGGGTATATAACCACACTGTTGGAACGATCCTGCAAGGAATTGACCCGGAATAGAACGGCCGACCTCGAGGTTATCAGTCAGACGCCTTAACCACTGCCACCGTCACCCCCGGTACAGGAGAGTGGCTCATGATACCCCATTATATCCACCACCCCACCCCTGCACGGTTGCAATATGCACACACACACACACACACACACACACACACACACACACACACACACACACACACACACACACACTCCCCACAGGGCATCCATCGTGACCCCGTATTCTCGAGTGGCACATGATACGGCATGATATTCAGCACCCCACCCCTTAACTGTTGCAGTACGCACACACACACACACACACACACACAAACACACTCTCGCCACAGGGCATCCATCCAGACCCTCTTGCAGGGAAGGGGACTACGTAGCCCTGCTCGTCGGCTTATAGCAACCAAGCCCGGGTATTATGACCCGGCCAGTTACCACGCCCAGCAATCGGTATTTAACCACACTGAGTAGGCAACCTGCCCCTCGTCTCCCTATCTGTCTCCTCCCCCCCCGCCCCCAGGCCCAACACAATGCATACTGATAATGAGCGTGTACAAGCTATCTTTCTGGTTCGGTACAGCCACAATGAGGGTGCGTTGTGTTCGGGGGAGGACGATACCCCGAGCCACACACATTTCCATTGATGCAGACCCGAAGGATGCAACCCTTCCGGCCTTATGAACAAGAGAAGCTTTTCCTTTTTTAATTTTGTTTCTTTCAACAGAACAGGCGGCGGAATTTTCAAAAAAAAAGGAAAAAGAAAAGAGGGAGCGATATGCCATTCACTCAATGACCGATAGCAGGTTGATCACACGGTTGACAGTAGGCCTCGGCTCGGCTTTGGGTGGGGGCGGTTCTCCCTCGCTCGCTCGCTCGCTCGGGACTCCTTCCTCGTCGTTCACAGGCCTCTCCGGCTTACTTTTTTTTTTTTTTGAGCCTCTCCTCAGTTACTCATTCGCTCTGCAGCGGGCGATCCCCGCATTCCTTCTTCTTCTTCTTCTTCTTCTTCTTCTTCTTCTTCTTCTTCTTCTTCTTGAGATGCCCGCATGCCCAGCTTGGTCGGGACCAAGCACGTCGGCTGAGCAGCAGATGGCAATCGACCCAAGCATCCCTCCTCTTCCCCCTCCTCTTTTTCCGCTTTTCGTTCCCTCTCCTCCTCCTCCTACCCTTCCTTTTCCCCCCCTCCTCGTCGTCGTCCTCCTCCTCCTCCTCCTCCTGCTCCCCTTCCTCTTTCCCCCCTCCTCCTCGTTCCCCCCCTCCTCCTCCTCCTCCCCCTCCTCCTCCTCTTCATACCCTCCTTCCCCCTCCCCTCGTCCCACGCCTCCTCCTCCTCCTCCTCCTCCTCCGCCTCCTCCTCCTCCGCCTCCTGGTCCTCCTCTTCCTCCGAATGATTAATCAGATCTGTCCCCAATTTTCCACCCTATCGGAACACAAGCAGTGGGAGGAAGAGTAAGAGGACGAAGAAGAAGCAAACAAGAGCAAGAGGGAGAGGAGGAAGAGTAGGAGGAAGAGTAGGAGGAAGAGTAAGACGACGACAAGATGTAGCAGAAGGACAGCACTGCAAATCGATCAAGTGATTGATCGCTTGAAAAGATCCCGACTCTTCTTCAAGTTCCTTGCCATCACCCTCCCACTTTTTTTAATCTCCTTTTTTTCGTCAAAATGAGTCTCTGCGTTTTCGTGAAAATTGAGTTTTTTTTTTCTGTTTCCCAATTCGTATTTGGGATGTCCGATGAGGTAGTCTCATGGATGATCACTCATCCCAAAAAATGACCTCTTGGGATGTCCTATGAGGGCCATTAGCCATATTCCGGCATGAGTGGTAGTCTCAAAGATGATCACTCATCCCAAAAAATGGCCCTTACAGGACAGGACAGGCCAAACCTCCTCTTCAGGTCACTCAAGTACAAATTGCCAAATGGAAAAAAAGTTAAAAAACTCCATTTTCATGAAAACGCTGTTGAGAGATTGCTTCTTGGCGTTCATTCATCTTTACGACTAAATGCATCTCCTCCTCCTCTTCTTCTTCTTCTTCTTCTTCTTCTTCTTCTTCTTCTTCTTCTTCTTCTTCTTCTTCCTCCTCCTCCTCCTCCTCCTCCTCCTAGATGTGTATAAG